GCTCGAAGTTGAATATTATGTATGTAGTGGCAAGGCCGGTCATTCACACAGCCCTGTTAGTTCGTTGACACTATGACTCACACTCACAGTTTATTCAATATTTTATTTATCCTTATAGATTAACACTGTATTATCTTGTGATTTCTTAACTAATTTTGCAGTTGGGTTTTTAAACTATGTAGTCCATGCACTTTACTACATAACACAACTTTTTTTTTAAATCTAAAGATTAACTTTATAATCAATAGCGAATATTAACTACGAAGACCAAACAGGTACGTGTTGTTGCGCGATCACCTGCGGGCGGAATGTAATAAGAGAATAAAAGAAGTAGTTGAAAGGCAAAAACAAAAAAGAACGGATAAGAATGATAGAAGAATATCGGACAAGTTCCAGGCAAATATCAAGAAGCTCTGGAAACTCGTAAGAACTGCCAGGTACATTCAAAACAGCCTATAATGAATGCTATAAGAGACGAGATTGGTTATATTCTGAATGATGAAGGTTTGAATTTAAAGAGATGGAAAGAATATTTAAAAAGCGTCTTTATGAGTGAGGAGACGACGTACGAACTAAATAAAATAGAAACTCCGAAAGAAGAGGAAAGACATAGCGAGATAACTTTAGCTGAAATAATGAAAGCAATGAAAAACATGCATGGGTAAAGCAGCCGGATATGATAGTGTTTCACTCGAAATGCTGAGGGTTGGAAAGGAAGTGGTGGCAGGCTGGCTACACACACCTTGTTTAATTTATGCTGGGTACTGAAGCGGGTACCGGCAGACTGGAGCAAAGCCGTGATAGTCCCAATATATAAGGGAAAAGGGTCACAACGGGACTGCAAAACTACCGTGGTATCAGCCTTCTTAGCATTGTGGGAAAACTGTATGCTAAGGTACTAATTGAAAGGGTCATGAAAGAAACTGATTGAAAAATTTGGGATGTTTAAGCGGGATTTAGAAAGGGAACGGGGTGTACAGATTAAGTTTTTTCCATGCGCATGATCGCAGAAAAGTTTCGGCCAAAAACCAAAAAGTTTTTTGTGCGTTCATGGGCTTGGAAAGGGCTTATGACAGAGCGGACAGGGACGGGTTATAGCGAACACTAAACTCATTTGGGTTGAGCGCTGGATTTATACAGGCATTAAAGTCTCTTTAGAGGGACTCTAGTGCTTGTGTTAGGATCAACTAAATCTACTCGGACTGGTTTGACATCCATAAAGGTATCAGACAGGGCTGTGTGGCTTTCCCGTAGCTGTTCCACCTATTTATTGACAGTTGTTTGATAAATTTGAAAGTTGAAGAATGCGGATTAAGAATGGGTGAGTTAACCGTGAAATGCCTTTTGTACGCCGATGATCAAGTTATTTTAGCGTCCATCGGCGGCCGAGTTGCAAATGATGGTTACAATAATGAACAGATCATTAAAAGAAAAGCATATGAAAGTGAACGCAAGTTCTTATTTAACGTAACTTTCGAAGACGAAAGTTACGTTTTTGAAAGAGAAGGAAGTAAAACGATATTGATTTATTTATTTATCAAGGACAGCCAACAAATCTTACACGAAAAACATTAAATTCTTAAGCTATTGTCTAATATTTAAGCTAAGTGCAGATTCAATTACAGGCTACCACAACATGCAAATATGAGTGCGTAATGCTTATTTGAAAAGTAATTTTTATTACTTTTTAAATATTACTTATTATATATGTGAAATAAGAATAGAAGGGGAGTTGATTGAGCAAGTAGATTAGTTTGTATATTTGGGATGCGTATTTAGCAAGGATCTCCCAGATAGGATAAGGATGTAGAACGACGAGTGAACGCCGGAAATAGAGTAAATGAGGCACTCTATTGTGAAAAGTCAGAATGTGTCAAAAAAGGCACGTATGGCAATTCACAATGCTGTGTTGAAACAGAAACAGAAACAGAAACTTTTTTATTCAATGTAGATTATAAACAATACTTATTGAAATTCAATTTTTTCATTTACCACTGGTTCGCAAATAAAACCTCTGTCCTGGAAAGAACCAGCAAGAAACACAGCGGGACAATTTTTTTTTTTCAAATAATAGCTACAGTCATGTTTACAATTAACAACACAAGACAAATTAGAAATAGCTTGGTAGCGGTCACCCTTCCCAGAGGTTATTATCATCCATAAATTCCTTAATATTATAATAACCCTTTTTATACAAACTTAGTTTAATAAAAATTTTGAACTTTTCGTATGACAAATTTTGTATATTTTCTGGGATTTTGTTGTAAAAGCGTATACATCGCCCCAAGAATGAATTACTGACTCGATGTAGTTGATCCCAACTTTAACGTATGATAGTGAAAGTTGGGTGTGACAAAAGATTCAGAAGAAGCACACACACAGAGAGAGTAGAATAAACGCAATAGAAATGCGGTCGTTAGGGAGTATGGGGGGGCTGAATCTGAATGACAGGGTGAAAAATTGTGTGATAAGAGAAGAGTGTGGTTTGCAAGATGATGTTGTGACTTCGTTGTGTTTGGTCATATGGAAAGAATGAATGAGGAAAGAGTAACAAAACATATTTATGTTGCAGAAAAGAACGGCAGAGTCGGAAAGGGACGTCCTAGGCGAAAGTTTATCGACCAAATTGGCGATATATTGAAAACCGGCCAAATTAGGAGTATCCTTAACCGACGAGCATGTATGCGTAGATATATGGATGTAATGGAAGCGAGACCGACCGATTTCCCTTCTGAGCCGCGTCTACGTGCTATTTTCGAGAGTCATTACGAATCGTCTCGCACGCAGACTCGACGACTTCCAGCCTCCCGAACAAGCCGGTTTCCGAAAAGGCTTCAGTACCATAGACCACATACATACCCTGCGGCAGATTGTACAGAAGACCGAGGAGTACAATCTGCCACTTTGCCTGGCGTATGTGGACTATGAGAAAGCCTTTGATTCCGTCGAAATTTGGGCGGTGCTACAGTCCCTTCAGCGGTGCCAAGTTGACTGTCGGTATATCGAAGTGCTGAAGTGTTTGTACAGTAGGGCTACGATGGCTATCCGAGTACAGAACCAGAGTTCGAAGCGTATCCAACTGCAGAAAGGTGTAAGACAGGGTGACGTTATATCCCCGAAACTCTTCACCGCTGCGTTGGAAGACGTTTTCAAGCTACTGGACTGGAAAGGATACGGTATTAACATCAATGGCGAGTACATCACTCACCTTCGATTTGCCGACGATATAGTCCTTATGGCAAAATCGCTGGAGGACCTTAGCACTATGCTCAACGACCTCAATGGTGTCTCCCAACAGATAGGTCTTAAGATGAACATGGACAAAACAAAGATCATGTTTAATGTCCACGTCACACCTATGCCGGTAGTTGTTGGGAGCACTATGCTCGAAGTTGTTGACGAGTACGTTTACCTGGGACAAATAGTCCGACTAGGTAAGTCCAACTTCGACCGAGAGGTCAATCGACGGATTCAACTCGGCTGGGCAGCGTTCGGGAAATTACGACACATCTTCACGTCAGGTATACCTTAATCTCTGAAAACTAAAGTGTACAACCAGTACGTGTTGCCAGTGATGACTTACGGATTAGAGACGTGGTCCTTCACCGCTGGCCGTATGAGGACGCTCAAGGTCGCTCAGCGAGCTATGGAGAGGGCTATGCTCGGAGTTTCTCTGCGTGATAGACTTAGAAATGAGGATATCCGCAGTAGAACCAGAGTGACCGACATAGCCGAACGGATTAGTAAGCTGAAGTGGCAATGGGCCGGCCATATAGCTCGAAGAACCGATAACCGATGGGGAAGAAAGGTTCTCTAGTGGCAGCCTTGTACCGGTAGGCGTAGTGTAGGGCAACCCCCTACTAGATGGAGTGACGACCTGGTAAGACATGCAGGAAGTCGATGGATGCAGGTGGCTCAGGACCGTGCTTTGTGGCGTTGCTTGGGGAGGTCTAAGTTCAGCAGTGGACTTGTGAAGGGCTGTAATGATGATGATGATGAATGATGAATGGAAGCGAGAGAGGTGTGTCAGGATCATGCCAAAGAGTAGTACTGTAGTATCTGCCTACGCCGCTGGGTGACAGGCGTGAGTGTTTATGTATATGTTTATTAAGCCATTACCTTACTTTTACTTTACCATTTTGACGTGGTAGAGCAATACTGCTGTGGGTCAGCTGGAATATGTCAGCTTGACCGAGAAAGGACCACGCTCTCACAGAATACCAGCGTTAAATAGCAGTTTAATGCTGCAGTGTTTCCTTAGGGGTAAAAACGCGTCTGTATTTTGATTCTTAATCAAGGATAGATGTAGATTTCTACGAGCCTCAGCGACAATGTGTCATCAGGGAGATTGTGCTTAGTGCTTGTTTGTTACCCTTATTCTAAATCCAAATCCCTCTCAATATCGAGAGGATACGAACAAGTGGTAGGTTTGTAGACTGTTATTTTAGATTTAATGTACCTGGTTTTAAACAACATAATGACGAAATTAAGTTTAACATAGGTTTAGGTTTTCAGTGCATGTAATATAAAGTCAACTATTAATGTAAATCACAGCTTATTTGTTTTTTGGATAGCCAACATAAGAAACAGCAATTAATGTTTGGTCACATTACAGCGTTATAAATTTTATTAATTTATTAATTTTGTAAATTAAATTAAATTTATTAATTTATAAATTTTTTATTATAAGTTAAGCTTATATAGTAACACAAAAGGATATTGTAAATTTATCTAGTTTTGTTAAATTTCTTCATCTTACTTCGCTTGTTAATGGAATATATATATATATATATATATATATATATATATATATATATATATATATATATATATATATATATATATATATATATATATATTAATTAGGTATATTTTTTAAATTTTTATATATAATATGAAACAATATATGTAACGAAATATGTTATCCCTATCCAATATAATAACATCAATCATGTTAGGATGAAAGAAAAATACATCATTAAAATCCAATTTAAGTTATCTCAATCCAATTCGTACACCTCGACATTTCCATTATTGTTGACAACTTTACGACCGATTTTTTGCTCGCTCTTCTGTCCGTTGACGTTTGAAGACGTATGGATTCTGTACCCTGCTTCACCGTAAACATGCGAGCCTGGTCCTTGAGGCTGTAGGTTTTTGATAGCCTGAAAATTTTTAAACGATATGAATGAATAAACATTATTCCTTCTTCAATCCGAAAAACTATTCTCTGTAAAATGTGATATTATATATTTAAATATTTAAATGTAATTAGATACATATGACAAATTTGTAGTTTACCGACAATAGGCGGTCACTACTAAAGGATTATCAACCATGGGAAATAAGATTAAATTCCTTCTTAACCCGTAATTATACCATCCTCTAAATCGCTGCCTAGTGACAGAAGTATGGATAATATATTTTACGTGGTTTTATTCTGGTCTGTAGTGTATTATTTGTAATATCTAACAAAATGGACTCCTAACTATAACCTTATTTACGTTAGAAGTCTATTAAAAGTCACAAGTCACAGTTCACAACTTCTGATTTTATGGATCTATGTGTCTAGTTGACATATCGAAGGACGTGCAGCAGAGCTTTGCGTGCTCAGCAGAGCGAGACAATATTTCATGCCGGCACACCGCCTGCAACTTTACAAGGCGCAGGTTCCGCCGCATATGTAATATTGTTTCCATATCTGGGCCGGGGCTCCCCAGTGCCAGCTCCTTTCATTAGGTTGCATTCAGCGCAGAGCGGCTCAAATCATCGATGATCGATGACCTGGACCTGGACCGATGAACTAGACTTTCGATGTGTCTTCTTGGTACCACCTCGACATTTTTACCTGATATAACCACGCTGCATTTATAGTATATGGCTAAGGCATGAGCTAGTGAGAGTAGGAACACGCTCTCATAGTGTGAAGCAGCAGAGTAATGCTGCAGTGTTTCGTATGGTGAGTGTATAGTACCCAAGACCTTTTTACCGGTAACGAGGCATTCCATCTTAGTTCTCAGGTACGACAACGCGTCTGTTTTTCATTCTGAATAGAGGACAGATGTAGATGTCTATGTATTACAACATGTATTTACCATCAGGTAGACTGTACTCGTTTATCTTCCTTATTCTATAAAAAATCTATTAAATCATAGGTGATAGGTGACAACGCATCTGTTTAAAGTTGGTAGTATGTATTCATGAGCTACAGTACCTTACAATTTGCTGAAATATTGACCTGAACCTAATGACTTCTGTCACCCTAAAACTGTTGAAATAAGATAGTACCGCTGTGGTCGTATCCGGTCAAGAAAACATATTATATTTATTAATAAGTATCATCAACAGAAATTTCTGTACATAATAAAAAGGGTATGTTTAAAATAGTATATAATAAGAAAACGATACGTGTATATGCGTAATTTTAGTGGTGATATTATATTATAGTTATAGTATATTTTATACTGATCGGAAAAGGCAAACATTGTAAAGAAACTTGGATGTTGTTTCATAAGGTGTTAAGACCTTTTTTACGAGAAATGCGTAAAATGAATAGATTTCCAAATTTTATTTAAAAAAATTAACTGTTATAATATAGTTTAAAGAGTATTTGGATATTTGTACTACTTGCCTAAAGACCACTGTTTTAGAGCTGCAGGTTCTTTTAGTTTAAGTTCCACGAGGATGAAGTAGCAAGTCAAAGATTAAAGATAAATTGAAGACTTCTTTAATGATTATTATTATACCTGCGCTAATTATGTTTAGAAATTTATATCTGGCAGTGCACGGTTTTACCAAAGAATTTTTATTCAACGGGGCTTTTTGTTTCTTTTATTACAGTAAGTACTATGGTGGACGCATCGATTGAAACTCCGCCATTTCAATTTCATAAGACTTAACCCGAGAACCTAAGAATGAAATTTATATAACTGTTTAAGGAAACATTCCAACCGCGATGAAACGTTGGAAATTAATTCCCGTTTCTAGAATTTGTATAGTGTTTTGTTGATAAAAGCCGACTCTTTATATAGTTTAATATCAATTAATTCAGGTCACGAAGTCATTACAACAGTCTCATTATTATGATTGAAAAAAAAAAAACTTAGCACGACTTTATATTATCCTTATCAAGGTCGAGGATTTCCCAGTTTCTTGTTAATAATTATGAGCAAAATAACGGTGCGAAAATCATGATGCATTAAAACCCTTTTTTATAAAAGTCATCGGCATGATATGATCGACAAAAACAATCTATATACAATGACTATATTATGTTAGTCAAAATTTTATAAGTAGACATACACAGCTTTAAACATATAATCGTTGATTGTCGCTTGCGCAACTTAGGTATTAATTATCTATCTTAAAAGACAAAAGATATTATGCATTGCTTAAATTGACGTCGATTTTTTCTATAGTTGAAACTTTTTACAAAATAATAACTTGAACCTAAAATTAAATGAGTTAATGCTTACAGTGTAGTTACGGTGTATTTTTTATATCTTATCAAAATATTTAAAAAAGAAATAACATAATATGCACCAAAATGGTCTCCACTTAGCTTTAAGTCACGAATTGGAAATATAAATACATGAATTCGTAACGCTGATTTTCAGTGGAGCCAGGAGAGTGAGGCAGATGAAAAATAACATAATAAGAGAAAAATTAACTAAACAGTAAATATAAAATGAAATGAAAAAAACTGTAAAAATTCCGTTTCAGTGCAACATTGATAGTGTAATATGAACAAACGGTAGTATGCATACAGAAAAAATAAAATGAATTGTGTATGTGTATGTGGATGTTTGCATGCGTGTTTGAGTGTGTGAGTGCGTTCGTATGTGCATGTACGGTGATAGCATCGAGATTGTAGAACCATACTATTTATACCTATTTGCCGGATTTTTGTACTGAAATCAGAATCCATAGTGGCATTTTAGTGGCGACACGCGTTCCGCACACTCCACCTTTCTATTATGTATGTATTATAGTATTCTATGTTTCTGGATCTCAACAACAGTGCCACCTTCCAAATTCAAACACACGAAATATATTTCATCAAAATCAGTTGAGCCGTTTTAGATTTTATGCGAGATTAACGGACAGCAGTTGATTTTTATATATAGAGAATTATAATAATCTATATAAACATCATTTTAAACGGTAGAACCACGCTGTAGCTATGCTAGCTATATACATCAGTACAAATTGTTATGGTAGGACTATTCTAAGAATACATATGGAGAATAATGCTAATGTGCTTCGTATGGCAAGTGTAGAGAATCGGAGACCCTTTTTACTGCTAACGAGGCATTCCATCTAAGTCTTCAGGTGTGACATCGCTTTCGTCTGCATTTTCGATGATAGGTGTAGATGGGGTTAGCTATAGACGACCGGTACTTGATTTTAATATTTTTTTTTAGTTTTGGAAGCTTGTTAGGGTTAAGTTTGAAGGCTGTTTTTAGATGTCGGAAATGTGTTTTGAATTAATTATGATAAAAATAATTTTTACTAAAAATTTCTTATGACGAAACGCAAATATTTCAATTTGGTCTAGCAGTACGAATAACATGGATACACCCATAAAAAGTTAATCATCCCCAGACAATTCATTTGTGGCTGAAGACGTGACCCACTGAGCGGCAGTGGAGAGCAGTCAAGAAGTTTTTCAGCAAATAAAATTATAACAATTCACATTACATTATTTCATTTACCACTATCATAGCAGAGTTTAGGGCAACTTTACTTTATAGATACGATTGGTCGAATCTCTTCTAAAACCGAATCAGCACGCCCCGACTTCTCGTAGTCTTGTCTGCCCTACCCCTAGAGTGTTTTGTAAAGTCGTAAGCGCGGAGGGTGCTCACCTTCTCAGCTTTGGCTTATTGGTCACCTTCGGCGCCCAACCTCAGTCGCTACGACTCATACGCGCAAGAAACTTTGGGTCAATATTCCTGTGTAAAAAGTGAGACCGTGATTTTACAAAAAAATCATCACTAGTAGGGGGCTTCTACTGCACCCCCGTACGCAAGTACCGGATGTCTATCGTTTTACCATAGATGGTTACGGACCACACAATACCCCACACATAGCATCCATTTACCATCAGGTGGACCGTGTGCTTGTTTGTCACTCATATTTTATTCATAAAAAATAGGGCAGTTATGGAAATCCCTTAAACTAGTGGACAAAATAAAACAACTCCCGTAATTTTAAAGATAGAAGAGCGATTTCCAACTAATATCGACTTACTTTTTTATTTTTACTTGTTATATCGTGATGGTGTTCCAACACCTAATTCTAAGTACTCATTGAATAAAAACTCCTCATTACGTACATATAAGTTTACTTATGTAGGAATATGGTCTGGTCATAATATTGGACTTTAGTATATGTTTTTTCCACGATAATTCGCAGTATCTATTTTGTTCTATGGTTGTTTTGTTTTTCTGTTTTGCAGTGCATTTAAGTGGATTGATGGTTAAATAAATGTAGGTTTAAATTTCATATTTCAAAACATATATATGAAATAGTAAAATATATAAGATACTAGCTTGCCAGGTAGACGTTGTTCTGCCAACCCGTACTCTCACTGGCACGGCAACATCGCACAACGAATATGTGGACTCAAACTTTTTCACTAAACTTGTTACTGCCTGTCTACTAGGGCGAGAATTACGGCCGAAAATCGGAGTTAATGCTCTTAAAGTAGCGGCCACCGACTCCGAATTTCTGTAGTAAATTTTTAAGATTTGCATAGGTTGTTCGTTCGTGTACTTCACCATGATGAAAAGGTTATGTCTACTGAATAAACTGACAGGGACAGTCGATGTTAAGTGAAAAGGTGCGTTCACAAACTAAATTTAAAATTGTCAAGTCCCTATTGGAAAACCCCTTATATTAAGATTTAATATAATATGTACAAACAAGCTTTTAAACACGAATGTCATTTATAAGTCAAGCAATAAACTGTAACTGTATAATTAAGTCTGGCGGTAGTTAGTGTTCTTTTTCACACCGCAACTGTTTTTGTTCAATGTTAGACATGAACATAGTATTCTATTTTTACTATGACATGGAGCACAATTCGTAGGCCATTCAAATATTATACAAATATGATATGATAATTTTAAGTATTTTTCTTTGTGGTTAGCGATCGCTGTTTATTTCACAGTAGGCGAGCAACCCGGGATCAATCCCAGTCGCCACTGGCGAAGGAAAACATCTTTAGGAAACTTGCATGACTGTGAAATCAGAAAAAATATTTTGAAGACATGTGAAGTTTGCCAATACGCATTGTCAATGTCAATTGGAAACGCGATGTCCGCCGCCGGGCAGCGTGGCGGACATTGCCTTTCCCTAAAACCCTCTCAAAAATGAGAGGAGGCCGTGGTCTTGTTTTTTTGTTTTTTTATAGGATAAGAGTCCCAAAACGAGTACACATTCCAACTCATGGTATGGTTATGGTATAGTTGCCGTGGCCCATATACATCTATATCTATCCCCGATTACGAATCATAATGCCGATGCGTTGTCTGCCGTAAGGACTAAGGACTCGTTTCCAGTAAAAAGGGTCTCCGGTTCTCTACATTCATTATACGAAACACAGCAACATTAAGCTGCTATTTTAGGCTAGTCTACGTAAAAGGTTATTACTGAAATTGTATCGATTGCAAATCTAATCACTTTTTTTTAAATAAAACTACAAAAAGACTGTTACTGACAAATAAGTAAATAGTCCAACTAATGTTAATGGATGTTGTGACCTGTAAACGTCATAATAAGTAATATACTCTCCATTAAATGCAGATGCGTTGTCGCTCTTGAGGACTTAGGTGGTACGCCTCTTTACCAGTAAAAAGGGCCTGATTCTTGTCACTTACTACATGTATTATAGGAATATAACAGTATATTATACTGCTATTTTATTTTTGCTATTTACTGGTACTTTGCGTAATTGCGGTTCTTTCTCCGTTGAGCTGACAGATTCTCAACCACATAAGAATAGCATAGATTGTGATTAAACTACGTTATTGTGATACATTTGTTTATGGATATACATATTGTGATACAACGACGTACTTTATATATTATTTTATTAAAAATGGTACACCAATTGCTGTGAAGATTCGTCAGACTTGCGTTGCAATTGCTGGCGTATAGGTACATATCACTCCTTCAATTCCACTCCCAGTTTCCTAAGCAGAACGGTTATAATGCTGTCTACAGGAAGAAATAAAGATCATTTTAAAATTTCGCATAGTTACTTTTTATGACAGCAAAAACAAAATCGTTTGATGAATACTGTAACGCAAGAAAAAATATTGGTGTGTAGCTTGCTATGTGAAAATGTCCATAAATCAAAAGTGAAGATGTGCCTACGTAAATTTTCATTTTAGATAGTTCTAAGATGAGGATTTGCTAAGGCGAATCTAACATTTGTTAGTCATAATAAACAGACGTTAGATTATAGTTCTAACACGTCATAATAAATAAAGGAATTCAACCCTCCACGAGTGAGTTAAATAGTATCTTGATAGCTTCTTTAATGTGTTCTTGCTTACCTCAAATTGCTCTCCAAAATCAAATCCTTGGCTCAACCTGCAGAACAAATATTCATTGTAAAATTAAAACAATAATTTTTTAAATAACCTGAATTAAACCAAATTTTGTAGTTTTTGGAACGTAGAGTTGATGAAAATGCGACTAAAGTATGTTGCGGCTTTTTCTATAGTAATACCTCGAAGAGTCAGCTGTGATTACCAATAATGGTCACCAATTGTTGGCGTAACCACATATACTAAAATATCATCCATAGCCCAAAGATTTAGATTAAATCAAATTAAAGAAAAACGGACATCATAAAGAGTCGAGTCTCACAAGCTGTGCCAAAATCAGAAATTCAAAACCACACGTTGTGGACTTTAAGGAATACTAAAACGAAACAAATATGTAGGCCCATGTTCAGCAGTGGACTTGTGAAGGATTGTAATGATGATGATGATGAAACTACTAATGATAGTTGCATTAGTAGTTATTAAAAATAAAAAGTAACTAAAAGTGTATATCAAAAGTACATCGTAAACTGGTCAATGCAATATTTTGGCTTGGGATTATAATGCTTATATTATAATCCCAAGCCAAAATATTGCATTGACCAACGGCGATAAGCTTAACTATAAATGAATAACGTGGAACGAAACGAGTTGGAATTATAGCTACGTAATCGCTACGATAAATTTAATTAGACACAGAACGTCTAATTTTATACCTTTCCTTGATTGTTTCTAGAATCTTATTAAACTTTCCCATAGAACACCAAATGAATGTTAGCTCTACGTATATACAGGGTTATTTATCAAAGAGTAGCCAAATTATAAACTGAAGTTCCAATATATAAATAAGATATAGAAGGAAAATATAAATAAAGAGAAATTATTGGAATGTGATTTTTTTTGCCTACCGATCGACCCTTACAAAAGTGTGCATGCGCCTTAAAATCAATTAAAATTCAATCATTTTGAATACAAAAGATAAAAAGGACAAAATTTTTGAGATTTTTTTAGTTAATTTTTCTGCACTATTTCCCTATATTACTTATTCTGAACCTTCTTTGCAAATTTGGCCGATTATTGGAAAATAACTCTGTATTATTAGTATTATGATAATATGATTCTTAAGTTATCAGTATAGACTATACTTTAAGCGATCAAAGCGAGTAAATGAAAATGTTTTATAGCCACCTATTATAATATATTGCTAAAAATTACCGGATACCTACCGAGGACGAGCCATTCGAAATTTGAGTCCAGGGCTGTAAATAATATACGTTGACTGAGATACTAAACACTTATCAACACTATTAACTTTTATATTCTATCAGTATTAGCATTTTAACGTTACCTAGTAGCATTACAAAAAGTTTAATTAAAGTAACATACATAAATAATAAATGCATTATCATATTGAATGTCGTTTGTTACGTAAATTTTTAAGGTAACGTAGTAGTATCGGTTTCTACAAATAAAATGTTCAGTACTGGTTTCCAATTTTTAGAAAATTGGTCATTTCTTGTACTCATAAAAAAACACTTATACTATCATCAGGCTGCGGCAGTCTACTGCTGGACATACATGGTTATATTAATAAATTAATGACATTTATAGCCACTGACAATAAATACAATTGATATTAGTATAATCTTTACGTAAATTAACATTTTTACCTACCGGTGATGTAAAAGTTTAAGGTTGTGTTCACGTCTGAAAAATTAAATAGGTATATTGCAGTCTTGAAGTACAAACAATTTATATATTGTATAATATTTATGCTTCAAAATATATAAAATAATTATTTTTCACGTCCTCTAGGGTAAAAGGAAAACATTGTAACGAAACCTGGGTGTCTGATTAATGAAATATTTGGAGATCATGTGAAGCCTGCCAACACGCACAGGAGCACACATGATGATTGGCGGTCCACTACTGTACGATTTACAAAAAATTTCTTTCTCGCACAAACTCTACTACCACCAGCGCTTTTTGACCGATGCGACTTAGAGATCTTCAAGAAAAGAGCCTACTCTTTTTTAAAAGGCTAGCAACGCATCTGCAATTCCCCTAGTGTTACAGTTGTTCATTGACGTACTTACCATCGGGCATGCTCCTTTACCCCTCTTCTATAAAAAAGCAGCGCGGTGGACTAATTACTCCTTTCAGTAATGAGGTGATGCCTGTTTAAGCGTAAGCGTCTAAAGTATGTAACTATACTTTTTTATCTCATATTGAGGAAATTTATAATTTATTACATGAATATCATGATCTTTTTTCATTTTATGTTCATAAATTAGAATATATATCAAAATATTTATGTAAATTTTTATCAAGAGAAAGGATGCTCTTGATAAAAATTTACATAAATATTTTCATTTTGAGCTTTTGTGAAACGCCACTTTTGTAGATACGCTTTATTTCGAGTAACATCTGTTAATTTAATAAGAGAATCGCCCATGATCTTTATCAGTATACAAGATTGAAAATATTTAATTGGATTAAGCACTATCGTAAATGCATTTACAATTCTGTTTTGCCTGGGAACCAGTAAAATGCATCGAAATTCTCTCGGTTGGTATCATTTAACGTATAAATGATGTTGAAATTATAACTACTAATAACAATATGGATAATATTCTTTACGTAAATTAACATAAATCTTTAAATTTTACGAATAATATACAATACGGAATCAGTTAGTGAGAATGGGGTACCGTCACCAAACTTTATAATGTTTAAATCACCACCACCCAGATTATTGTAGAAACCAATGACGAACTATTATTTAACAGCACACAGTTAAAATTTATCTGTACTCATGCAATAAATATTTTTCATTTTATTTGATTTTATTATATATAATATTGATTATAGATTGAATATATACGCTGTACAAGTAACGAAGTATGTGTTCAAAAATTAAGTCCACTTACAATTTTTGAAACGCACTCCAATCTCCATTGGCTGCAGCCACTGCGATGTCATTTTCTTGCGATGGTGCTCCTTTTCAATTAAAATAAAAACATATATATTATTACCAAAGGTTTTTTTACATATATCAAGGTCAGACCAATAAAAAAAGGACGAAGCGCCGCTTACATTTTTTTTATAGGATAGGGTGACAACTGAGCACACTGTCCACCTGATCGTAAGTGGTTGCTGTGGCCCATAGACATCTACATTTATCCTCGATTACGAATCGAAATGCAGATGCGTTGTCACCCGTGAGGACTAAGATGGAATGCCTCGTTTCCAGTAAAAAGGGTCTCCGGCTCTATATACTCACCATACGAAACACAGCAGTATTAAGCTGCTATTTCACGCTGGTATTCTGTGAGAGCGTGGTCCTTTCGCGATCGAGCCGACCCACTTGTGCTACAACTATACTACTAATATAACTGCAGCATGGCTCTACCACGTATAAACATTACATTTCAAGTGTTACCAAAACTACGCCAAAACCATGCTCAGTTTATTGTAAGAACTCGCACTTACGTACACATATGCATCTAAAATAATTTGCTTTCAAGAACATCGCTAGGTGTGTATACATCCAGCAGTGAACTTTTACTGGCTGTTAAAGAAGAAATATATGTGTGCGCGAGTGCGACGTCTCGTGATACATTGAAAAGTCAGTTCCGAAAAGAGCTATTATATTATCAGCATGGAGCATGATATTGTTCTTTACGAAGACGTGAACACGCGCAGCAGGAATGCAGATCCGATCGACGCAGGCGCTGAGAAGAAATGGGACGCTTCTGACTGATCTAGATGATGTTGGTGCTGTTAGTCTTTTGGTTTTTACAGCTTCATCGGTATCAGGGCTAGCTAAAATAAAAGGGGTAAGTCTAAGTTGTTCTACATTGTTACTTGCGTAACGATGTTCACTACGTCGGTTGTGTCTATCTATGCACGTAAATGGGTTATCTAACGGCCGCGACTTCCGAACAGGAGGTGGCGGGCCCCCGGCTCTGACGGCTAACTCGTATCGTTCTCAGGGGGTGGCGGGCCCCCGGCTCTGACGGCTAACTCGTATCGTTCGATGTTCTGGGCGGTGATAACCGACCAGGGACGCGGGTGTACGGTGTGTCCGCGGTGTAAAGGGGTTTGCGGAGTGTCAGTCTGCATACTTGCTGCGTCCTATCCGATGTACTATTCGTGTTTGTTGCACTAGGTATGTTCATGTGTGATTGGCCGGCGACATTTGGGTCGTCGGAATCTAGCGAAACAGGGGTTCGATTAAAGCGTTACGGGGCCTCCGGAGACTTTCCGCATCGTTTGGAGTCAGGGCGTAGGTGGCTGAGTTTAACAGTAATGGGTTGGGATATATCTCGGCCCTCTCAAAGTAGCGCTAAGACATTTCCTTGAAATATTTAGACATAGTTAGATAGTCGGGAGTTGACATTCTCCTAGAGACCGGGCTCCAGTGGCTAAGCGGATGAATCTGTTTCGGACGACTTGGAGGTCGTACAAGTAGTGATGGGCTACGTGCACGAAAACAACGATTGCGTAGGACGTGATAGATCTTACGCAAGCTTTGTAAAAATGGAGCTTATGTCTTTAAGGACAGTTTTCTCTTGTTGTTAAATTGCGGGTGGAGACAACTAATGACGAATTTAGTAGGGTTGCGTACGGAGCGAATATGTTTCGCAAAGGTCATGTCGTGGTCGAAGATTATCCCTAGATATTTGGCCAACGATTGCCAGAGGATCTGGTGGCCGAACAGGGTGATCGTACCTATCGATTTCTTGGGGTTCGTATTCTGAAGATTGAGAGTGGGGGTCCTTTGAAAGTATATTGCTACACTTTTCTCAGGATTCACTTCGATTCTTCATATGCGGAACCAATCACTCTAGCGGTTGACGGCTGCTTGGTACAACTTAGTGAGTAATCTTTTGTCGTGATGGCTACGAAGAGTGTTGTGTCATCGGCTAAAAGTGTAGTGTTAACTATTGGGTCTCTAGGAATGTTACTTGTGAGGAGTGTGAAGAGAAGTGGGGAGAGGACAGAGCCTTGAGGGATTGCAACCTTAAGGGGACGTTTTAAAGAGCGGGTGCCCTCTATTCAATAGCGAAAATGGCAGTTGGCAAGACAGGATTTGATGGTGTGAGTGAGCCTATCAGACACGTTGAGTTTATACATCTTGTAAAGCAAGCCGTCGTGTCAGACTTTGTCAAACGGTTTTGCGACATCGAAGCGAAGACGGCGCCGGTGTTACTGGACCTCTTTTTGGGAGGTTAAAACCTTTCAGAATGTATTCTGTAGCGATGAAACTCGTTTGTGTGTGTGTGTGCGCGAGTGTTCGGGTTTGAAGCCGAACTGCTCGTCTGGAAGCATTTTGTTAACGGAAACAAATTTTTGGAGGCGATATAGTATGAGTCGTTCTTATACTTTCCCCAACGTTCTGAGGAGACTGGATCTGTAGCTGACGTTAATTGTGCGGTTTCTTTTGTTTTGGAATTTCTAGAGCAGCTGAAGAGAAGGGCGCTGAAAATGCTCACTAGGAGGCAAACAAGTAGCGCTGAGAGTGGTTTAAATTTATTTTCTAATGCCGTCGGGACCGGTTGTTGATATATTTTTAAGGTTTTTAATTACTTCTGTGACTTCATTGACAGTCACAAACTCTAAGGGTTCGTTCGTGCGTGGTAACACAGACCCACGCTCGACCTCAGCTTCGACCTCTGCAAGGTGAACGGGATCTATGGATTCGCTAGAAGGAGTGCATTGACGCTCTAAACTGTCCACGAGGCATTCGGCTTTTTCAGAGTCGTCAAAGGCGAGATTGGGATTTCCTGGCCTAATGAGAGTCATCAATCATTTTTAAATTAGGCGATGCGCTCTTTTACCTCGCCTTGGGGGTTGCGCAGTCCAAATTTGTTATCTATTGTGCGGTAGTGATCATATTGCCTTAGGGCCTCGTTTGTCGCTCTGATCAGTTGTCGAATATGACTCGGAAGCTTCAGGTGTCGATTGCTCGATATACGATTTCTATTTCAGGGGGCTTCAATTGCAATCCCAGTTAGGTTGCAAATACTTCGGACATTGAATATCTCCTTGCCTTCCGGAGACAGGTCCTGTGACAAGGCACAGATCTAGGAATAAATTTTGTCAGTCCTGCCAATCACATGTTAGTGAATTATAAGATTCTTATTCGTCGTAGTAGTCTTACGATTGTAAATATTTTAAAGTAGATATTTTTATTTTGTACATTTTGTAAAATTTTAGTATATAAGGAACACATTTTTGTAATTAATTATTCTACTCGTTTTTACTCATTCTACTAGCCTCTACTTATTCTATTCGTTTCTACTCTCAACTGGTGGTCTGTCATCATCGCCAAACTTATATTATAAGATAACAAATATTATGTCGACGGCTATGAAATATGTAATGCATGTAACGGTTTTTAAAGAGCGTGTTCAAAGTGTGATCGTCGTCAGCTGACAATAAATAGCGTGGGAGATGCAAAAAAAAGACAAGAAAAGGAAGCGTTATAAAAAAATCTCAACACATATTTTAGGACATGTGGTGATCAGGACCTCATCAGACAGTCCCTGCAAAGAATATTATTTAATATTTATATCGACTCTTCTACATTTCGTGACTTCAGGTATCGACCTAGTCTACCTAACAGAGTTTGCCGGTAGCTCATACATACGTTACATTTTAATTTAATAATTTAGTTATACGTGGTAGAAGCCATGCTGCCGTCATATTACACGTGGTAGAGCCATTCTGCAATTATATAGTAGTACTATAGTTGTAGCACGAATGGGTCGGCTCGACCGGAGAAGGACCACGCTCTCACAGAATACCAGCGTAAAATAGTAGCTTAATGCTGCTTTGTTTCATATGGTGAGTGTAGAGAACAGGAGACCCTTTTTACTGGAAACGAGGCGTTCCGTGTTAGTCCTCACGGGTGACAACCCATCTGAATTTTGATTCGTGATCGAGGGTAGATGTAGATGTCTATGGACCAAAGCAACTACTTACCGTCAGGTGGATTGTGTGCTCGTTTTTCAACACCCTATCCTATAAAAAATTAAATATTATTAAATTAATGTATTCTTTCAAATTACAATGATGAAAAAAATATCAACAAGAACGGTTTGTATTAATATATTTCATTAAGGCGGAATTTCAAGTAAATTGTTAGGAAATGCGATATCCGTAACAAGTATCACATCACTTATCTAAAAAAAATCAATAGACACTTATCAACTTATCATCCACTTGACATCCACTAAATAAATGCATTGTTTATATAAAATATCACAAACACGTTTAGAGTGTCAATGATGAGGTAAGTTAAACATTGACATCGGTAGGACAAAAAAATGGTTTATTCTATGATCGTATTTTGGGCAAGATTTTGACGCTCGAGAGTAATACTTCTTGAAATCGTACACATGTTTGGAAAAAGACATGCGCATACATGAACTATACAATAAAAATTCCTAATCAATTGGATTTAAAAAATATTTTATAATAAAATGAAATAAAAAAGTCGCCGGGTAAAAAACTTTGACCCTTGAATTCTCGTTTTTAAAGCGATGGCCATATAATATTTTTCGATTATACGAAAGGAATTTTAATGAATTAGATAGTCTTAGTCTTTAATATTTTTATTTACATCCTTAATTTCCTAAAAATAAGCGTTTCAAATAAAGTTACTGGACAAATATGCATCAAGCGGAGAAAGGGGCGCTAAAAGCCTTTAACACCTTAAATGTTTAAAATTGTTAACTTGTCCAAATTGTTATATGCGTTGTAAACATTGCCCAGCCTTATATATAATTAAATCATTTAGTAACCATTTGTTTATATTTTGTCGTAATAGGTTTACTTGTTGCATAGTTCTAAGTTTCATCTACATAACGTTCGCTATAAATAAAAGAGAGTGAAATAAAGTAACATAATATATATATATATATATATATATATATATATATATATATATATATACATATATGAAAAGAAAAAAAGCTTAAATAGCTGCATTTAGCCTTTGAAAAAGAACTAAACCAACAGATCTGGTTCTATTTTCTTTTTGAATTTCTTGGGTTGAATATAAACATTAGCAAAACGTGTTCATTTAATAACTAAGTATAGTGTCAAATAACATTATAATTAGATGACACTATAATTATAATTTTTTTTGATTTCACACTATTTACAAAAATATGCATTTAACATATGGCGATAAAAAATACTTCATAAAAATATCTTTTACGAGTGAGAATTTATGTTGATGATTATTTTCGGTAACTTAAAGTTTTCGTGCTTAAATCAAAGTATATTTATAATAAAACATTCTTTGATGAATTTGTGTTTCGAGAACCAGAATAACAAATCTCTTCTCGTTGCAGATTCAGTTCCTTTAAGGACTTTAGCTTACCTAACGGACCAATAGGCGTTGCAACAAATGGCATAAATATGAATTCAGATTATAGACTTATATTAGATCCATTTACTCAGTTCAGATACTTCTGACTTCCGGTAAACGTGATAGAATCAATCATTGTTAAAATGTATTTGCGCAATAAAATTGATGCAGATCGTCGTGGTGCATGCATTATATTTTCGTATTTCAAATCTATTTTGCATTATTTTAACACATAATTCATAAATTATAGAGAAGTCAACCGCCAGTTGACCGTGATATTTAGCAGATTTTGAGCTTGCTTATTGTTTTCAAAAATATTCATTATTTAAAAAATTTAAATGTTCTACCAAAATATGGCATCTAGGTTTCAAAAACAAGTTTATAACAGAATTTGCGATAATCTCTATAGTGAAAGATTAATAGGACATTTTACAAATATTGTCCTCAATGAATCTCACATACACTCACGCCTATCACGCAGGTGAAGTTAATTAGGAATATTTTTTTATAAATCCGTACTTGTATTAATTAGTACTTAGTACTAATTTATAAAAAAATAATTACCACATTCTTGCAACATAAATTTTACACTAACGGTTCTTCTGCCATAGCAAACTTTCACTATCATACGAGTATATTAATGTAGAGAATAACACAACTCTGTGAATTACTATAACATTTAACACACTCTGACTTCACAAAATAGAGTAAAGAGTCGTTTACTCTGTATCCTGCATTTACTTTTGGTTATATATTCTTGTCATATCTACTGTTGAAATTCACAAAATTGCACTTGCTCAAGCAACTAATTCCTTCCTCTCCATTCCACCATTAGACAACCAGGCGGTCGGCGCGTCTGAAAACTTTTGTTGTCGATATTCCACCCATTAGAAACAGTTCGCTTCGTCTTTTGTAATGCGTACAACAAAGGAGTGGCGTAATTTACCGCCTTGCTTGGCCTTACTTACGAGCTTTCCGAGGCTAGGGGGTAAAACACCGCCAATTTTCTGACTCCAGGCTGCTACTAAGGATTTCTTGAGAGAACAACTCAATTCCTGATTTTGGCCCAATACGAACCCTAAACCTTATGATGAGCAGTCGTACTTGCGACCACTGGACCAACTAGGCAGTACAAGATCATGAGAAATTAATTAACTTTCGCCAGCAAATATTTCTACGTAATATGTTTCTAAATATGATGGTCAATGGTCGTGTAATTTTGGCTACAAAATGGTAAGGAAACCAATGTTCGCACAATCAAATGCAAGTTTTTTTTTACAGTTGTTATGTATAAAATACGTGAGAAGTAATGAACCATTACATAGTAAGCTGAAAATTTCATTTACATTATTCACGTGGTATCTAAGCATATAGCATATCATAGATAAGTTTTATCAGACATTCATTAATTATAGTTGCCAAATTACGTTATTTTTGTAAAAACGTTAATTATTAGGTTATGTTGTGGGTCCAATACATATTATGAGTATTATAGAATTACATAAGGTGTAACTAAAGTCAGTGGCGAATCATGGGTAGCCGCTGCCCTAGAGCCCCACTAGAGCCAAAAATGCACCTCCTCCCTCCCAAATTCAAACATGAATAGAATTATAATGTATTTTTTCTACTTATCTCTACCATTGGTGAGTGCGTTTTTAAATTGTTTTAATAAAAAAATGCAATTTTTTTGATTGTTTGATATTAATTCTGATATTATTAAAAAAAAGGCTGAATCGGACCTTCATCCACAAAATGCTGCTCTTAAAATCTACCGCCCGAGGACATGGCCCGCGGCCACTTCTTGCCACTGATTAAGGAGAACCTTAGTCAGTGGCAGTAAGGTTTGGTTAAATCATGAGTAACATTAATAATGAAAATCTTCAAACCTAGCTTGGGATAGGTTTAGAAATTAGAGGGCCCGTGTAGGGTTCATTCTCTGTTTAGTGGGTTCTCGCTCACCCACCCACTCACTCACTCTAGGACTCTATTTTTTATTCAACTGGATCGATTCTTATATAATTTAATGTGGTTAACTGTATTATATAACCAATTGGACATAAACTATGACCTGTCTTTTTATAATCCTGTCCTTTTATAATATTTTCAGGCACGCATCTTAATTTTTCATATTTTTATTTAATTATTAATAAATATAAAATACAGAGTAATAAATGTAAGTATATAAATATAGCTACGGCCATTTTTTTTTTTCTTGTTTTTTTTTGTTTGTTGTGGGCCCCCCCCCAAGGGGACCTGTGAGAGGGGGGGTGCCAGGTGTTTTTGGGTGGGGTGTCGATAGCCAGACAATTATTACGATTTCTGTGGCCCCGTACAAGGCTACGGACCATATCACTCCTGCATAGAGGCGACCCACTTCTTCCCTTCTATGCATATCACCCGCTACCCTTTCAATCCGTGGGACTAGGCGCTCGAAGTATTTTTCGAAGCCCATCGACTGTCCAGGTGGAGACCCAGGTACTTCATGTACCGCCCCACTCTGACTACCGACCCACCTACGCAGATGCACGAGTCGGTTGGTTCCCTGCCGCGTCGTAATTTATGGAGTCATAGGTCCTTGTTCTTGTACGATATACGATAGAGAAATATATAAATATCAGTATATACTTACAGATTTGTATGTGTTTACGTACAATATTATATCATAATATATTTTTTACATATAATGTGAATTTATTTTAGTTTCTTTTCTTTTCTTTTTGTTTCTTTCAATCGCTACACCAACGTTAAATTCTCACTACTCCACGGGTTGACTGGTACAGGATGCCTTTAGGCATTAAGTCTCTTATAAAAAAAAAAAAAAAAAAAAAAATTTATATTATAAAAATTAAACATTTGTATGCTTTTTTAACGGAATGCAATAAAGGTTTTAAAATAAAATAAATATGAGAAAAATATTATGCCATTATGAATTCACAATAGTGATACGTACCCTAAATTAATATTGTTGTGTTTACGTATTAAATTCTATTTAAAATATTTATTTTTTATTAATATTACATGCCTGATGCATTTCATCATTATCATCACTATTACAGCATCAACAAGTCCTCTGCTAAACAGGGACCTTCCTCATTTATTGCCACAAAATACGGTCCTCAGTCACCTCCATCCATCAACTACCTACATCAGTTAAGTTACTGCTTCTGTCGGTGGTCGCCCAACACTGCATTATCCTAATTCATGTAATTTTACAAAACTATCAAAGTAAACTTTGGTACCTCATTAAATCAATATGATAATTAAAGCTTTAGTAATTCTTACCTTGAACAGCAACAAAAATCAATCCAACCAACATAAACACGGTAGTTAGATTTAGCATTTTGTATATTAAAAAAATAAAACAAATACAATATTTAAAAATCGTTGCAAAATCGTTGCGTAACGTACATGCGAGGTTTCGCGTTCTATTGATATGATGGCAAGGCTCTCCCAGCTTATATTGCGCGCGAATACGACTCTAATTAAAGCGTTATTCTGAAATAAAAAAGCAATAGTTATACAATCAAATACGCTCCATAAGATAAGTATATTTTTATTTATTGTTTTTAGTAAAAAATTCGTGAAAGGATAAAGTTATTTACCAATGCGTACCGCTTGTTAATGATATTGGCACTTTGAGGGAAATACAAGTATATTACACGTAATAGAGCCATGCTGCAGTTATATTAGAAGTATAGTTGCAGCACGAATGGGTCGGCTCGACCAAGGAAGGACGACGCTCTCACAGAATACCAGCGTGACATAGTAGCTTAATGCTGCTGTATTTCGTATGGTGAGTGTAGAGAACCGGAGACCCTTTTTACTGGAAACGAGGAACTCCATCTTAGTCCTCACGGGTGACAACGCATCTGATGTAGATGTCTATGGGCCACAGTAACCACTTACCATCAGGTGGACTGTGTGCTCGTTTGTCACCCTATCCTATAAAAAATACTACTTTACACTCCTCCCATCCATCCATTACAGACTATAAAAGTCCACTACTCGCGGGGAGGGTTCAGCCATAGTTGCAACACTTGGCAAGCCGGTTGGCAACCGCAGTGTTGTATTATTTTGAGTTGTTACAAAGATGATGATGCTGCTGCCCATCCTTGTAACAACTCAAATGCTCTCCCGTTTCATTTTCTATCTGTCCCCTCTTGCGTCACCCTCGGGATGATATGGGGTAGGGGATATACTTACACTGGCACTACGTTTTCCAGGTAGATTTACAAACATAATAAGACGGTCACGAAGGTTTCTGACAAAGTTAGAAATAAATAAAATATCTATTATTAATACCTAGTTATGTCTTTATAATCGATTTTACAGAATAATTTTGGCAACGAGTACACAGTCTACCGGATAGTGAATGAATGCTGTGGCAGCTACATCTGTTCTCGCTAGATATAAACATCTAGTCTATTCTCGATTAAGGATCAACTAGACCCGTTGTCACGCCTGTATGTTCCCCTGTATGTTCCACCAGGTTGTCCATCTAGTGGGGGTCGCCTTACACTTCGCATACCGGTACGAGGCTGCCACTCGGGAACTTTTTTCCTCATCGGTTGTCGGTTCTTCGAGCTATATACCCAGCCCATTGCCACTTGAGTTTACTAATCCATTGGGTTATGTCGGTCACTCTGGTTCTACTGCAGATATTCACATTTCTAAATTTATCACGCAGAGAAATCCCGAGCATAGACCTATCGCAGCTTGCTGAGCAACCTTAAGTTTCCTCATAAGGCCAGCAGTGAAGAACCACGTCTCAGACCCATAACTCATCACTGGCAACATATATAGTAAATACAAAGTAGTTAAAAAAAGATTCACCAAAGTCTTACATTATATAATTCATGTCTTATTATCAAAATGGTAATGAAATTCATGGAATTGTAATGTAGGTACTACTTTACATAAATATGTCATCATCCAGTGTTCCTTATTAACACATGCATTAATAATCTCGATTAAATTATACAAATATATGATTCTAAGACTGTATTTATTATTTACTATTGTATACCTACGTGCAATAATGTGTAAACATGTTTATGCAGAGAGTTGAAAACAAAGTATTTTTTCTGCATTAGAGCTTATTTTCCAGGAAGTTAATTTGGGTAATATGGTGTTTTAAACGACATAAAATCATAAATAATCTGAGGAGGAAGAAAGGGTCTCCAGTGAATGTCTGAGGAAGTAGGGTGCCCCACCCTGGTGTTGATGGTGACGACCTGGTAAGAAATGCAGGAAGTCGATGGATGGAGGTGGTTCAAGACCGGTTTTATTATCGCCGTGTAGTGGAAGTTGGAAGAGACGACAGAGAGAAACTGAAGTAACATCTTCCTGCTACGATAACAACTCAAAAACAGTAACTAACTGTAGTCAAAAACTGTGATAAGGAAACAATGACAAATATACCCTTATGAAAACGTGGTACAGCCACGGTCCAGCTATTATGGTTGTAGCATGAATAGTAAGGAGCATGCTGTCACAAAATACCAGCGTAAAATAGCAGCTTAATGCCGCTGTGTTTCGTATGGTGAGTGTAAAGAACCGGAGACCCGTTTCACTGGAATCAAAGTGTTCCATCTTGGTCCTCAAGGGTGACAACCCATCTGCATTTTGATTCTTAATCGAGGTTAAATGTAGATGTCCATGGGCCACACCACCCACTTATTATCAGGTGGACTGTGTGCTCGTTTGTCACCCTTATCCTATAAAAAAACAAATTTATGTTAGAGATCTATGTTCTGCTGTGGACTTTTGATAGAATGTAATGAATGCTGAAGAGAAAAAAATCGTTTTTATTCAATACATATTATAATACTTATCGATAGTCCTTTAAGCTTCACCAGTGGTTCGGAAAAAATCTCTGTCCCGGGAAAAACCAGCAAGAAAGAAGAAAGTCCCAGCGGGACTAGTTAAAAAATATAATGTACTCGTTTAATAGTAAATAACCCTTTCTAAATAATGTGTGTAATAATGTTAAACCTTTTGATACATTGACATTGGCAATGACATTGTCCCATGAAGGAATTACTGACTCTTTGGAGTCGAGTAACTGGTATAACTAACTTGTGCTTGTTCCTAGTTATAGTATGTATATCACTATTTTTGATAAATTTTTTTTGTGTACGAATATAAAATTTTCGTAAATATACTGAAGGGCCAAAGTTATTATTTTTTTTTATAGAATAGGGTGACAAACGAGCACACAGTCCACCTGATGGTAAGTGGTTGCTGCGGCCCATAGACATCTACATCTATCCTCCATTAAAAATCAAAATGCAGATGCGTTGTCACCCGTGAGGACTGAGATGGAATGCCTCGTTTCCAGTAAAAAGGGTCTCCGGTTCTCTACACTCACCATACGAAATACAGCAGCATTAAGCTACTATTTCACGCTGGTATTCTGTGAAAGCGTGGTCCTTCCCCCGGTCGAGCCGACCCATTCGTGCTACAACTATACTACTAATATAACTGCAGCATGGCTCTACCACGTATAAACCTATTACACGTATTACATTTAATTCTTTAAAATTTTCTCTATGGGATTCCTTAGAACCTAGGTTATAAATTATTTTTGTCACTTTCTTCTGTATCTGTAAAACGAAGATAGTTTCAATGTCAGTCGCATTAACCCATATCAAGATTACATGTTGTGACCGTATACTATGAATATAAATGAAATAAACTAGATTTTTTTATTCATGTACGGACTCTAGTATTTTAACAGCATATGCTGCAGAACTATTTTTGATAACTAGTTTAGATATATGAGGGCCCCATTGAAACTTCGCGTCAATTGTAATTCCGAGGAAAACAGTGGATTGTGAACAGTGGTGAACAGCTGTTTCCCATTTAAAAGCACTCAGGTATTCACCTGTTTGGTGTTGTAAATTTAGTAAATTTCGTTTCATTACCGTTTTAAAGCAAATTCCTGACGTTAAACTATTGTACTACTTTTGACATAACATTATTTATATACTTAGTCATATTTTAATAACTTTGCCTTTTAAATCGGATAATATTAACGAAGTACCATCAGCAAATAAAACTAATCATGGTTATTCTCTACGAAGTAAGGTAAGTCATTAATATAAACAAACGTCCTTCCCCTTAATCACATCCAGCGCAGAGCGGTTCGAATCTTCGGTGACCGAGCTCTTTCTGGCGCTGCGAAGTGATTTTGCATCTCTTTGCGTATTTTATCGCATCTACCGTTGGAAGTTCACAGAGGAATTGTTCGGACTAATTCCAGTCACTCGATTTCACCATCGCACATCGCGACAAAACTAGCGATACCATCCGTACCATCTGGATGACTGGATGACTGGTGGACCGCCACCACTGTGCGATTTAAAAAAAGTTTTCTTCAACGCACAATTTCCTTATTGAGTCGACTACCACCGACAGTTTTTCGGGACCAATACGGGTAGGTGCCTTCAAGAAAAGAGCGTACTCTTTTTTTAAAGGCTGGCAACGCATCTGCATTTTCCCAGTTGGTGCAGTTGTTCATGGGTGGTGGTAGTCCCTTACCATCAGGTGAGCTGAATGTTCGTTTTCCCACTCTCATATAAAAAAGTTTTCACATCTGAGGACTAAGATAGAATGCCTCACAGCCTGTTATAATAATGGCTCCTTTACCATTTAGGCCTGAACACAGCATTTTGCTGGCTGAAATAGATAAAATACTCCCGGTATTTATCTAGACGATAACAAGTCCTATCCTACCACCTAGACTGTGGTACTATGAAATATAAGGCTCTGACCTTAAGAACCCACGGATATCTTTTTTATATCCACGTGATTGCGGTGTTTGAGAATCCACTCTCCAATTTCATCTCGTTGGTGTCGTTAGACGGAACTATGGGACATCATGTCAAAAATATCTTCATGGCTTTCGAAAGTTGGCGTTATAATTATTCTCCGTTGAGACTGACCGCCGTGACCAAAATTTAGTCTGGTGAACATAATAATTTTTTCCGCCAGATTAAATATTGACATGTGTCAGCCATTGTTATAAAAAATTGTGCGTGATAATTGGTAGAATACCAATTATTAGATTTTTAGGATTTATAGATTAGGCAATGCAAGCGGCAATTGCAATTGATTTATGTTCTATAATTTTAAAAAATATATATGATATTAAATACCTACTTACACATTGAGACATTTTGGTAATCAAATGGCTTATGTAACACACACACACACACACACACACACACACACACGCGCGCGCACGCACGCACGCACGCACGCACGCACGCTCGCACGCACGCACGCACGCACGCACGCGCACGCACACGGACACAGACACGCACTCGCACACGGACA